TTATTGATTTCAGAGAGGAAGGGAGAGGGAGAGAGATAGAAACATCAATGATGAGAGAGAACCATAGATTGGCTGCTTCCTGCATACCCCACCTTGGGGATCAAGCCTGCAACCCAGGCATGTGGCCTGACTGGAAATCGAATCATGACTTCCTGGTTCATAGGTCGATGTTCAACCACTGAGCCACACCAGCTGGGCTGCTGGAACACCTTTAACAAAAATATCCACATAGCTCACACTTCATCCCCTTATGGCAGGGGTCCTCAAACTTTTTAAATAGGGGGCCAGTTCACTGTCCCTCAGACTGTTGGAGGGCCGGACTATAGTTTAAAAAAAAACTATGAACAAATTCCTATGCACGCTGCACATATCTTATTTTGTAGTAAAAAAACAAAACGGGGACAAATACAATATTTGTATTTGCATGTGGCCCACGGGCCGTAGTTTGAGGACCCCTGCCTTATGGATTTATTATATTATTTTAGAGAAAGAGGAAGGGAGAGGGAGAGAGAGAATCATGGATGTGAGAGAAAAACATGATCAGCTGCCTCCTGCACACCGCATACATGTGCACAGACTGGAATCAAACCAGCAACCCTTGGGTGTATGGGACAATGCCTAACCGACTGAGCCACACAGGCCAGGGCCTCTTATTTAAATGTGGGGCCTGTGCCCAGCAAGTGTGGATCAGTGGTTGAGGGTCAACCCATGAACCAGGAGGTCATGGTGTGATTCCTGGTCAGGGCACATGCCTGGGTTTTGGGCTCAATCCCTGGTAGGGGGCTTGCAGGAGGTGGCCAATTGATGATTCTCTCTCATCATTGATACTTCTAACTCTCTCTCCTCCTTTCCTCTCTCTAAAATCAATAAAAGCATATTTTAAAAAATATAAATAGCCCTAGATGGTTTGGCTCAGTGGATAGAGCGTTGGCCTGCAGACTGAAGGGTCCTGGGTTCGATTCCAGTCAAGGGCACATGCCCAGGTTGTAGACTCAATCTCCGGTAGCGGGTGTGCAGGAGGCATCCAATCAATGATTCTCTCTCATCATTAATGTTTCTATCTCCCTCTCCCTTCCTCTCTGAAATCAATAAAAATATAAATAAATAAATAAATAAATAAATGTAAGGCTTTCTCCAAAGCTCCTCTTGCTCCCCCCCTCCTCCCAGCCTTCCCTATCTCAGTTTCCCTGCTGTGTTTTCCCCATCCCACATATTATTATACTAGAGGCCCGGCATACGAAATTCGTGCATGGTACAGTCCCTAGGCCTGGCCCGTGATCAGGGCTATCTTCCCTGGTGGCCCGCAGCCGGCTCTGCCCCCCCGCCGCCACCCACCCCAGATTCCCTGATCCCCATCCAGCGATCGGACCCTGCGAAGGGTGGGGGGCGGGGGGTGGGGAAGGGACCCAGAGGTTGGCCAGCAGGGCCTGTGGGCAGCTCCTATGTGAGCGTCTGCCCCCTGGTGGTCAGTGTGCGTCATAGCAACCGGTCGTTCCATCACCCAGTCCACTTGCATATTACGCTTTTATATATATAGATGACTGAAGGCAAATGTTATTTTGCTTAATTTTCTTGTTCATTGTCTGACTGTCCACTAGTATCTAAACTCCACGAGGGTGCAGATCTTCATCTGTTCTGATCTCTTCACTGCTGTCTCGACAGTACCTTCAAAATGCCTGGCACATACTAAGCACTTAGTACAGACTCACTGAGTGAATGAACACGCCAGTGAATGAGAATGAGTACACACCCAGAGGGAGCTCATGTTTTAGGTGGGGAAAACACAAAACCAGATAAAAAAAAAATACATTTATATTAGCTCCAAGCAAGTGCTACACATGTGCTAAACTAGGGGGATGAGCAAGGCCAACATGGCTCAGTGGTTGAGCTTCGACCCAGGAACTGGAGATCACTGGTTCGATTCCCCATCAGGGGACATGCCCAGGTTGTGGGCTTGATCCCAACTAGGGGGCGTACAGGCGGTAGCTGGTCAGTGATGTTTCTCTGTCATCAATGTTTCTCTCTCTCTTTCCCTCTCCCTTCCTTTCTCTTTAAAAATCAATAAAAACATTAAAAAGTAAAATAAAATAGGAGGATGAGCTGGGACCCATGCAGTCAGGTAGTCATTTTATGTACAAAGAACAGCACATGCAAAGGCCTGCCCCTGGGACTGAGCTATTCATGTTCAAGGAACAAAAATAGAGTTGTCATGGGAATTAAATGAGTTAATACAGTAAACCCTCAATTTTGCAGACCTCGATTTAACAAACTTCGGATTCAATGGACAAAATTTCCGGTATATGTGTCATATGTGAATAGTAACACCCTATTAATTTTAAAATGCCTTTAACCGCCGAAACCGGTTTGGCTCAGTGGATAGAGCGTCGGCCTGCGGACTCAAGGGTCCCAGGTTCGATTCCGGTCAAGGGCATGTACCTTGGTTGCAGGCACATCCCCAGTGGGGGTGTGCAGGAGGCAGCTGATCGATGTTTCTCTCTCATCGATGTTTCTAACTCTCTATCCCTCTCCCTTCCTCTCTGTAAAAAATCAATAAAATATATTTTTTAAAAAATGCTTTTAACCAAAATTTGTTTATAATGAAATCAACAGGCTATTTTTTGTTGTTGTTGTTATTCACTGTTATTTTGAATTGGTCATATGTTGGAAAACACACTGCAGTAATTTTGCCGACATAAATAAATATTACGTATCTACGACGATAGTCTACATATTTAAATCCAGGAGTCCCTGCTCATACACGATGTTTGGGGAATGCTTAGTATGTGGTCGCATCGCATCCCGTGGGTTAACTGGTTCTGTTGTCCAGTGGCCTGACTTTCTGCAGCAGTTTTAACTCTGCGAGGGGATGTTCCCATGTGCACTAAGCCACGCCCCAGCCGGTGCATTTGTTTATTCTTTTTTTTTTTTTTAAAAGAGAGAAAGCTTTTTTCTTTTTCTTTTTTTTTTCTTTAAAAATATATTTTATTGATTTTTTACATGAGGGGATGTTCCCATGTGCACTAAGCCACGCCCCAGTCGGTGCATTTGTTTATTCTTGGTGACTGGTGAAGGCACGCATTTGCTACACCTATTCAGTACAAACTTGAAATTACAGTGATACATATGGAAAGCTATTCTGTGAAATTAAACATTTTAAAAAATACATATATTTTATTGATCTTTTACAGAGAGGAAGGGAGAGGGATAGAGAGTTAGAAACACTGATGAGAGAGAGACATCAATTAGCTGCCTCCTGCACACCCCCCACTGGGGATGTGCCCGCAACCAAGGTACATGCCCTTG